GAGGGGAGGGGTGCAATAGTGGGGGGCTGGGCACCCCGGCACAGGTCTCGGGAGCGCGCACCACCTCCCGCCTGGACCTTGAGTCCGGGGAGAGCCCATGGACACGTTCTATTGCCAAAGAACGATTAAAATGGGATTTAAGAGGCACAGTTGGTCCGCATGCCACCCAGACTTCCTCCTTGAAAAAAGTAAGGGGAGCAGAGAGGCGCGGGGGAGGGAGAGGGAGAAGAGAGAGAGGGGGAGGGAAGAAGAGAAAGAGGAAATGGGGTGGGAGGACCAGAGTGAAGGGAGGTGGGGGAGGCCTGAGAGGGGAACAGAGGTGAGAAAAAGGTCCAGAGAGGCAGAGATTTAATAAGTGGAGTTTTCTTTTATTTGCTTTTTTTTTTTTTTTAAGGCTTTATCCTCGCCAACTCAAGTTTTTTCCCTCATACTAGCTGTTTGAGAACTGCTCTTCCTTACGTTTAGCAAAACTTTCACTACCTTTTTTTTTTGGCTTGGTTTTGTTTGGTTTCCTGTTAATGTTGTTTGCCTATTGTTCACAAGAAAATTCAGTTGTAGTGCAAACTTGCAGTTTTGTGTGCTAGTTTTTTTTCTCCAGCAACCTTTACAAGATTTAGTACACACACACACACACACACACACACACACACACACATACACACCACCCCACTTCACCCCCAATCTCTCAGAGATTGTTACTCCACCCCTTCCCCTTTTATCATTGAAAAGCATGAAGCCTAAAGAGAGGAAGTAACTTGCCCTGGGTGAAGAAAGCTGGTGGAAGAAGGCTGGTCTTATGAGCAGGGTCCCAGTGTGCCACTCTAATTGCCAATAATTATTAAGTAGCATTTGTGGGGGTTCAGAAAGAGCCACCCCAAGGTGTGCCTCAGTGGTATACAGATTGTTTTGGGTTAAAGGCAACTTTAGCTGTGGGCTCAAGAGAAATGTCTCCCACTCTCTTAACTACCTAGAAGAAAAACTGGAGGCCTTGCCCCTATTAAGAGATTATCAGACATAACCTTTTTTGACCTATTTATAGGGTAGGGCAAACATCTAATTACTAAACATCTATTGTTATGATCTTGCAATGACCCTTTGAAGCCCCCAAGTCACCTTACCTCATCCCTAGCTCAGAATGTGATACATACCTACATTTACCTTTCTGTCTCTGAACCTCTCATTATGTGGGGTCTTTGACTCTCTCATGTATACAGGGTTTCCCATGCATATGTATGTAATTTGGTTATTGTCTCTTGTTAATCAGTCTCATGCATATCTGATTATTACACCAGCTGAAAGAAACTTGAGGGTAGAGGATCATTTCTTCCTCTCCCACACATTATTTCCAGCTGCCTCCTTGATCAGTTTAAACACCACCCTTTTCTGTGACAGCTCCTCTGACTTCATTGGCAATTGTTGGGAATTGAAGCTCCTTTCCTGCAAAGAGCTTATTAGGTATCAGGCCCTGTGCCAGCATCAAGGACAAGTAATGAACAAGTCACTCTCCTTTGTCCCTGCCCTCTATAGCATATGTACTTTGCCCTTATTACACTGGTTAAAATAAGTACTTGTATGTCCACATTTTTCCATCAGATGATGAGCATTCAAAGGAAGAAAGTCCACATTATTCACCTTCATCTTTCTAGATTCTGGCTTGAAAATACTCTGGAAGTATGCTGGAGTGTTAAAATAAATACTTACTAACCTTATCTTTGTTTCTAGACCTGAAAGCCAAATTCGATTTGGCAAGAGAAGTTGCCCTTGAAAGCTCAGAAGTGCAAGTGTTCTCTAATGTAGGCACGAACTGCACAGGCAGTGGAAAGGGGGATACAAAACCCTGCTTCTAGGTTTTATAGCTGTTTACTTAAGATTAAAAGTTGACATCATATAATTACACTAACACATTTAATGTTTAGAGGTACACTGACAGAATAGCATTGCATTCCTGAGTGCCTGAGAAACTGTGTCATTGGTTGTTAAAACATTAAAACTTTTACTAGGTCATCCAACATAGAATGTTGGAAATTATGGGTGTAATCAAAGTAGCTCACTTAACTGTGAAGAAAGTTTAAAACAATCTTTATTCAATGAATGATAATTAGAGAGGGATCTTGGAAACCTCTTAGTCTAATGGATTCCTTTAATATTGGGAAATGGAGATCCAGAGGTAATAACTTGGTGAATGTCACTTCGCCAATTACTGAGATTTAGGACTAAACCTCAGCTACCTTGATTTTCAATTGAGTTGATTTCCAATTATCTATAATTCCCAAAGTATTCTCCCTCAAAATAAAATATTAGCCCTCTTTCCATAGTGAAAATTAGTGGGAAAATTAGTGAATCTCAAACTGCTTAGACCTAAAGTTTTATTTTTATAACAAATATTTCTAAGATTATGATACTGTAATTATGTGTGTGTGTGTGTGTGTGTGTGTGTGTGTGTATAATCATTCAGATCACCAAAATATATTTCTCAGATATATTTGGCTTTCATCCACAGTTCCTAGCTCACAGATCCCCTAAACCTTGGAAATTCCTGACCAAAAACAGTGATTAGGAGCATCTTTTGTTATAATATTTGTTCTCTTCTCAGTTCCTGAAAATGCTACAGAGCACTAAAGGTGAAATGGGTGCCCTATTATTCATAACAAGCCCTTCTACAACTACTTGGTTTATGTTAATGAAGGTGACATTTGCAAAGCGTCTAAAGATGGAGGCTAGTTACCAGGGGAACCAACCATGAATGCAGGGTAAGAAATTTTATCCCACTCCCTGATTTCCAGGGAGGAGAGAGGGGCTGGAGGTCGAATCACTCACCAAATGCCAATGAGTTAATCCATCATGCCTATGTAGTGAAACCTCCATAAAAACCCAGAAGGAGCGGGGTTCAAAGAACCTCCCTGATAAGAAACCAGAACTCTTCCATATGCCCCCTGAGATGTGCTGGGTTCTGGGCTCCAAGAGGACAGAAGCCCCTGTGTTTGGACCTTGCCCTATATATCTGTTCATCTGTTCATTCATAACTTTTAATACCCTTTGTAATAAATGAATATTCTAGTAAGTAAACAGTTTTTCTTGAGTTCTGTGAACTATTATAGCAAATTAATTAAGCCCAAGGAGGGGGTTGTGGGAACCTCCGATTTATAGCCAGTTGGCCAGAAACCCAGGTAACTAACAAGCTAAGCTTGAGACGGGTTTCTGAAAGGAAAGGCAGTCTCGTGAGATTAAACCCTTTACCTGTGGAGTCTGACTCTATCTCAGTAGACAGTTTCAAAATTGAGTTGAATTCTCTGACACCCTGCTCGTGTCTAAGAATTACTGGTTGGTGTTGGAGAAACTCCACTCATGTTAGAAATCGAGTCTCAGAATACTTTTCAGAGACCTTTTACTATTCTGAAATGAAATTCATATATAATAAGCTACTTATATACTTAATAAAAAGATACCAAATATAATATAAAAAATATTTTAAATAATTTTCTAATACAAAGACATATATTCCATCACCTAAAATGCTCATGTATGAATGTATTGGAAAACAGAATGAGACATTCAGGTACTTGCTCTTTACATCTCCAAGTAATATTGTAGAATCATGATAAAATTGACAGGTACCTTTTCTCTGAGAACAGAGATGATTTCAGTGAGTTATACCATATCAGATGGTCAGTTAACCACAATACATTGGTTACTGATGCCAGACAACTCCTGGTTAAAACTTATGGTCTGGATAGTTGCAGTTGGCTTAGTTTCTTGTCAAAAATTACGTGAGATGACAAAACTTTGTTAGCCAAATGGGGCTCTTTTGAAATTTCCAAGTTAGCTTCTCTGAAAGTTCCAACACTGAGGTTTTCAAACCTGTCAAAGTCAATGGAAGACTTTCTTTAATTGGTATTTCAAAGCCTCAAAACCAAACCAGGAGATACCTATTGCCTCCCTCCAAGAAAATAATTCTAAACTTAATAAACACTTCCAGAACATCAGAAGACTTGCAAAAGTGATCCTCCTCCCTTACTTTCAGAATCCTCTTAACTCTCTTCTCTAAGTCCCTCAGTTCCTCCTTCAGCTCCCTCTACCTATCCCTATCTGAGCTCTATTTCTAGTCTTCAGAAATCACCACTCTGAATCTTCCCCCCTCATAGCCTCTTTTTGGTATTTATCTCAAAGACTTGAAAACCCATATCTGAAAAGATATTTGCACACTGATGTTCATAGCAGCATTATTTACAGTGGCCAGGGAATGGAAGCAACTGAAGTATCCTACAATAGATGATTGGATAAAGAAACTGTGGTACCTATATACAATGGAATATCACTCAGCCATAAGAAAAGATAAAATATTACCATTTGCGACAACATGGATGGACCTCAAACTAATCATGCTAAGTGAAATAAGCCAAACGAAAAAGTTGAAAATTGCATGATATCACTTATATGTGGGATATAAACCTAAAAGCAACAAACGAATAGGACAAATAAGCAGAGACTCATGGACATGAACTATAGACTAGCGGTTACCAGAGGGAAGCGGGTAGTGGGGAGGGGGAAGGTAGACCGGGTAAAAGGGGTCAAATATGTGGTGACAGAAAGAAATCTAACTATGGGCAGTGAACACACAATGTGATGTATATACATGCCTTACTGTTGAATTGTATGCCTGAAACTGGATTTCATTAACCGATGTCACTACAATAAAAATTATAAATACATACATACATACATACATACATACATACATAAAGTTTTAGATAACTCTTAAAACATCGAAACCATCTCTTTGACTCCTGGGACTAAAGTGGAACTTCTAGCCATCGTTAAGGATTTCCCAAACCCCAAAACTTATCCCTTTAAATCTCAATGCCCACTTAGTTATATCTTTAGTGCTTATCAGCCGTGTATCTCCTATCTACACCAAC